TGTGCAGGTTAGGGTGGATTGGCCGTGCTAAATTGTCCCATAGTGCCCAGGGATGTGCAGGTTAGGGTGGATTGGCCGTGCTAAATTGTCCCGTAGTGTCCAGGGATGTGCAGGTTAGGGGAGATTGGCCATGGGAAATGCAAGATTACAGGGATAGGGTGGGGGGCATGGGTCTGGGTAGGATGCTTGTTGGTGGGTTGGTGTGGACTTCATGGGCTGAACGGCCTCTTCCTGGACTGTAGTGATTGTGTAAATCTATGAGATGGGTAGAAAGGCTGTTATTTTACAACATACCCTGTTGGTAGCTGAAATTATCAGGCACTGGTGGATAAAAAGAAAATTGTCTGCACTTACTAATCATAACTGCAAGCTCTGTAGCTTTCATCCTTCAACACTGAATGTGATATTTTTGTTCTTTCCTAGAACTACACCAATTGTATAAGTTCCGATCCTAAATATCCAGGAATTATAGAGTCAACGGAGGAGTTTAAGTTTGTGGAGAGATTGATTCCACCTACCACAGTACCTGTTCCTCCGAAACATGATCACTACCCCACACCATCAGGCTGGTGCCCACCTCGAGGTCAGTATCATTGACAGCAAATCCATTTTGCCTCTTTCTCTGGTTTAAACCGTTTTTTTTTACATTAACCACTAGTCATTTTACATTTAAAAAAGTAACTAGCTTATATCTTAACTACATTATGCACTGTTCTTATTCTTAGCAAACTATCTATATTGAAATTAAACTGCATTGTGTTAATCCCACCACCTCTCAATTTGCTTCAATACCATCCCTTGCCGACCACTCCCATTTTCTGTTTCAAGCCTCCTGTGTGCATCCTTCGCTTTGTCCTGACTGTTCTAGTTTAGATGTTCTCAGTTGCCTCCCTCACTATTCCAGACTCACCTGTTTAAATTCCTCTGACTCTCCTTGCTTGAACCCTGGTTGATTGTCATAAGCGCTGCCTCCCTGTCCTGTATCTCTTTTGTGAAGTCATAGAGTTGCACAGCACGGAAACAGACCCCCTCGGTCCAACTCGTCCATGCCGACCAGATATCCTAAATTAATCTGGTCCCATTTGCCAGCATTTGGCCCATATCCCTCTTAAACCCTTCCCATTCACATACCCATCCAGATGCCTTTCAAATGTTGTAATTATACCCACCTCCATCAGTTCCTCTGGAAGCTCATTCCACACACGCACCACCCTCTGCATGAAAAAGTTGCCCCTTAGGTCCCTTTTAAATCTTTCCTCTCTCACCTTAAACCTATACCCTCTGGTTTTGGACTCCACTCCCTGGGGAAGAGACCTTGTCTATTCACCCTATCCATGCCCCTCATGATTTTATGTAAAGTCACCCCTCAGCCTCCAATTCTCCAGGGAAAATAGCTCTAGCCTATTCAGCCTGTTCCTGTCGCTCAAACCCTTCATACCCCGACAACATCCTCATAAATCTTTTCTGAACCCTTTCAAGTTTCACAACATCTTTCCTATAGCAGGGAGACCAGAGTTGAGCGCAATAGTCCAAAAGTGGTCTAACCATTGTCCTGTACAACATGATCTACCAACCTCTATACTCAGTGCACTGAAGAAGGGTCCCGACCTGAAACGTCAGCTTTCCTGCTTCTCTGATGCTGCCTGGCCTTGCTGTGTTCCTCCAGCTCCACAGTGCATTGTCTCAGACTCGAGCATCTGCAGTTCTTGCTATCTCAAAGTTACCATGTTGACGTCTTACATTGAGCGGGGTTTTTAGTACGGATTCCAGCGTCTGCAGTAATTTGTTCTTTCCAGTTTGGTAGTTGGAAACACCACTGTTCTGCCAATCTGATCAGCTTATGTGAACGATCAACATCCTTTCTCTCCCAGCATTCCACCCAACTACTATAGCATAAATACTGCCCCCTCCATACTTCATGTCAGCTCTGATGAAGAGTCGTTGCTGTGGGAAGGCAGCCAACATCATCAAAGACCCCTCCCACCCCGGTGAAAATCTCTTCCGCCCTCTTCTGTCGGGCAGAAGGTACAAAAGCTCAAACACATGTGCCAACACATTCAAGAACAGCTTCTTCCTTGCTGTTATTAGACTTCTGAATGAAGTTTCAAATCTGATGTTGATCTTGCTGTAGCTACACGTTCTTTGCGGCTGTAAATTTGCACTCCTCGCCGTGTTCAATCACCCTGTGATCTTTGTGTTTTGTGTGTTATGGTCTGCCTGTACTGCACACGAAGCAAAACTTTTCACTGTACCTGGATACACATAATAACAATAAATCAAATTGTCTAGACTTGAAAAGTTAGCTTGCTCTCCACAAACGCTGCCTGACCTGCTGTGATTTCCAACACTTTTTGTTTCCGGTAAAGGTTGCAACACCTGCAGTAATTTGCTCCCCCATTCTGGAATAAGAAATATCAGTCCTGCCTCAAGCTTGTGCATTGTCAGAGGCATGTCTGGCTCACTAATGTTCTTCAGGGACTGAAATTCAGTATCAGCGCAATGCTTTTGCAAAGCCCACTGAACGTCTTGCGATTACTTCTGGCAAAGAATGCTTTGATTAATATTTTAATGTTTTTATAGATCCACCTCCTGACTTGCCCTACTTCATCCGGCGTTCCCGGATGCACAATATCCCCGTTTATACGGATATCACCCACGGCAACAGGAAGATGACTGTCATTCGGAAAATAGAAGGTGACATTTGGGTATGTGACACGGTGAATTTAATCTTGTAACGTTAAGGCAAAAGTGACACATTGACGGCTGGAAAAGATGGTCTAATCTTCTAAAGATGATTCAATTTCTTGTAAAGCTTGTGTGATTGCTCACAAAGTCTGTCGTCTTTCGCTAGGTAGCATTGTGGTTTTGTTGGATTGTTTTGTCAGGAATTGAATATTTTTGGTTTGTGAGCAGAAATGCGCACAGTACACGGGCCGGTGTTTTAAATAGTAAAGGCAGGTTTGCATTTTGAATCTTACCCATCGTTAGAATTGGCCACGCCAAGCTGGATGGACAGACATGTGCCCAAGAAAGGACGGTAAGGTGGCTCAGTGCTTAGCACTGCTGCCTCACAGCGCCAGGGACCCGAGTTTGATTTCAGCCTTGGGTGACTGTGTGGAGTTCACACGTTCCCCCTGTGTCTGATTGGGTTTACTCCGTGTGCTCTGGTTTCCACCCACAGTCCAAAGATGTGCAGGTTAGAGTGGATAGGCCGTGCTAAATTGTCCCATAGTGTCCAGGGATGTGTAGGTTAGGGTGGATTGGCTGTGCTAAATTGCCCCATGGTGCCCAGGGATGTGCAGGTTAGGGTGGATTGGCCGTGCTA